ACTTAAAAAAAAACATAAACGAGAATTAGTAACAATGGAAATGAGATGTCATATTAGGGCTGTAGAATGACCAGAAGAGATAAAATTCAGAAACGAGGTCATAACAAAAAAAAAAAAAAAAAAAAACACACACACACACACACACATGTGGTCACAAAACCAAATTTAAATTACATAAAAAGACATCAAATCAAACGGTTTGTCCTCTTGGAGGTAATGTTTTTTGATACAATACTATACTATACTACACGTTAGACCAAAAACAATATGCAAAGAAAACATTATAAAAACTCTTCAACAGCACAATGTGTTTATGGTCGAGGCCACAGAAAGGCAAGAAGCAGAACTGTTTATCTCCTTCGACACCCGAAGCAGTTAGAGGAAAAGCAGAAGAAGACTGACAAGCTATGTTTGTGGAAAATTGATGTATCGATGACGATAACACACGCTATATATATAATGCACAATAATACGTTGCATCACCAACATTCGGTGAGACAGATAAAAAGCATTAAAACAAATCACTGCTTAGCATTATTTCTGCTGGTATGGTTCGTTTACCTGAGAACGTCAATGCTGAAGGACAATATACCGCAGGCACAGCCTTTGCGTGCAAAGTTGCCATTTCTGAGATCTTGTACCCGTCTATAACTGTCTTTAACTGCCTTCAAACTGTCTTTAACTAACAGAATTTGCATCACTTGAGTAGTTCAACCAATCATAATTATTCATAACACTACAACGTCAACTGTCTATATAACTGATTGAATTCACAGATAACCGGGACACATGAGATAGTCACAGATAACGCTGTAAAGAGTTTTTAGTTTAGTTAGTGCAACATTTGTACATGAATTCAGTTTCATACACATTATAGCCGAGACACACTGTTTAGATAGTATCCTGTTTAGGTTGACCCTGAATTGTACTTCAGGTTGGCCAATCGCTGTAAAGGTTTTTAGTTGGCACTGTTAGGTGCAACATTTGTACAGGTTGCCCTGTTACACTGTTAGGTTGCCGTGTTGATGTCACCATCCTGTTAGGTGCCATACTGTTAGACACTCAATTGCCACTGTTAGGTTGAGGTTAGGTTCGGATTATGGTAGTCCACTGAGCATGGGGTTGCCAATGTTATAGCCACTGTCTTTTTAATCCAGTCACGTTGCCACTGTTAGGTTGCCACTGTCAGGTTGCCACTGTCAGGTTGGCAATGTTAGGTTGCTACCACTGTCAGGTTGCCACTGTTAAGTTGCCACTGTCAGGTTGCCACTGTTAGGTTGCCACTATTAGGTTGCCACTGTCAAGTTGCCACTGTTAGGTTGCCACTGTCAGGTTGCCACTGTCAGGTTGCCACTGTCAAGTTGCCACTGTTAGGTTGCCACTGTTAGGTTGGCACTGTTAGGTTGCCAGTGTTGGGTTGGCACTGTTAGGTTGGCACTGTCAAGTTGCCACTGTCAGGTTGCCAGGGTTAGGTTGCCACTGTCAGGTTGCTTCACTGTCAGGTTGCCACTGTCAGGTTGCCACTGTCAGGTTGCCACTGTCAGGTTGCCACTGTCAGGTTGCCACTGTCAGGTTGGCGCTTTGCTGGAGAAACGAAATCGTCACGTCTAGCCAGCATTCCCAAAGGGAAAGCTTTAGGTTCTACAAAACAAGATAGCCCTTGACCCAATAAGGTCGTGGAGGTGTTTTGATGGAAGCACTAACACATAAAACCCCGCCACCTTTCTCTGCCTCTCTCTTGATCAGTAAATGTATGATAACTTAGTCCTGTCCATTTCCTGATGTTGTCATTTCAGGTTCTTCTTTGCTCCCCTCTTCGTCGACCACGACCAATGTTTCTTATAGTACAGTCTTTGTAATGGAATTATGTTTCACCACATGCCCAAACCAAACTAGCTAGTTTCACCACTGCCAAGAGAGGCTCCTGATGTCCCGCAGATGTGAATATTTTGTCTCGGACATTTAATTATTAGTTTAGGGTTTAAAAAAAAATTCATAAAATGCGTCTTATTTAGGTTCTAATTGTGACCAAGCTATATGCGCTATATAAAATGACTTAGCATTGAACGCCATCAAGGGCCCTGAAAAGGACTCCTTCAGTGTTGATGCGATCAAAGGAGACTGACCCAACAACAGTGCCGATCGGCGACGAAGTCGTCTGCCAGCGAGCCATAGGGCGACCCGTTACCGGTGTGCTTCTCACTTGCACCATTGACATAGGACATCTTCCATTAGCTTCTAAAGAACAGGAAGAAAGATAGATGTAGATGTACCTATGAGTGCCGTGCAATTCATACGTTCATTCATCCACCTCTCCATTCTGTCGTTCATCCATCCATCCATCTCTCTATTTATCCATCCATTAATTATTTAGTGAATGAAGACGGAATTAATTAGCTCCATTAAATACAAAGTGATTTATTTTTTATGCGTTATTTCACTTAGTTTGGTCAAAACTTCATCCACTTAAGGTGTGACCATGCTCATTACTCTCGTCCGTTTAGTACGCATCATTAAATTGCATAGACGGATCGTCCAGTTTTCCTGAAGAATAGCCCTCAGGTCGTCTCATTCTCTATTCGACGACGACATTCTTGTTGCCTTTGCTGCAAAACCCCCCCTAAACATTTTCCGGTTTTTCGAGGCCAAAAATTATTTTTTTACAGAGTTTTCAAAATGGGTCCAACCCTTTGGGGGCCTT